ACAAATTGAGCGCGAGCATACGCATTGTTCCAGTTAATTAGCTTTTCTGTACGATTTTTCGTACGAGTTGTATTGTTCTCCCGAATGATGAGGGTTTTATGTATATAACCAATCTATAGCGCACGACCACACATTGACGAAAGTGCAGCTTTTATCTACATTCCAAACTATCCATCCAGTCAGCCGAGTCGAAATCCTCCTAGTCCCACTCTCCCAATATCTCCATCCACCCCAGACACACATCTTGACTAACAAACCAGTACGATCGAGATTCTCACTCTGTTCTCAGGAGGAGGATTCTTGAAAGTATTGATTTGTTTGTTCAAAGCTACACTTTCTTACCACAAATCCTCTACAGTTTATTGGTGAAAAGAAGCGCAGCTTTTCACTGCGTCTTTTCACACAAATCGCGATTTTATGATGTTACCGTATGACTACAGTAGTTCAACGCTTTCCTGTTGTGGATTCTCCCGCCAAAAATGTTAGCTCTTCTTTATTTTTGATGGTAATGATGAGCTAAATTTGTATGGCAGTAACTGATCATTCTAACTGCTATATTACAAGCTTTTTTGCGCCTACATTGTGGCTACAGTAATCTTACCATACCTCTACCGTAGCAAATACTCAAAAATTCTCGATTGGGCTCCATTTTCTCGGGTAATTATGAATAAAATTTGTATAATGATAGTAGAGCTTTGTCATCCCTTTATATACTCTTATATGTCGATTGTTCAAAAATGAAGTCGTGAGCAGTTTTTCTGTCATTGGCTCTGTAGCGCGCTTATTATAGCTTGTTCTTATATCTACACGCGAATGATGACACATATTGCAAACATTTGAGTGGCTTTCGTTTACTTGCGCAGTGAGGTATTTATATGTGGCCAAAGAACCATCGGAATGTCACTCGTACACCTTAGTTCTTATCCTATGCGACAGCTGTATTATTCATATAGTCGCGTTAGGCTCGTACGCTGTCAACTGTGGTTTTTGTGGAAATTGTGTATTTACGTATTCTACAGGTTTTGTTTTGGAGTTTGAGATGAAATTAACAAATTCTGATTCTGTTGAAAGCAGTCAATTTTTCTTCAACCTGTCCCTATCTCCATTTCTACCTTCCTTCTCCAGTCATGCTCAGCAGGTCCTGACTGGAATTACCACGTAAAAATTTTGGTCTGCAACTAGTGGGTGAAAAGGCAAAGTATGGTAGCATTTGTTGGCTAAAGAAACATTTCGTACTTCTACCATATGAATACAGTAATTCTACCGTATATTACAGTAATCCTACCCTAATATCTGTGTAACTTAGATCGTAAACTACTGGTCTTTTATCTCATTCCTTCATAACTGGTCCTCCTTCTAATTTACATCCTTTTGCTCTCAATCCATGAACGTTCTTTGACTTTTCCCATCAGTTAACCATCTTATCTTATTAACGACCATATTTAGCACCGGCAAACGGTTCCATGAAGACGGATGGCAAAACTCCACAAGCCGCCGTTCCACCCGCTGGCAAATCCGAAGACAAAAAACGTCGTCGTGCGTTGCGTCGTGCCAAAAAGAGCGAAGCTGCGCAACTAGAACTAGCTGAAGCGGAAGCTAATGGTAAGTGGGGCACGTTTTCTAGTGTGCTAGAGAAGTTGTTTTTGTGAATTTTCAATGATTTATTGATTATTGATTGATTTTAAGCTGCCGCATTGGAAGATCTATTCGCTAATGATCGTCAGCGAGTTTTGAGCGGTGGTGATGATTATTGGTATTATGATGTGGCATCAGATGGATATTATTATGAACAAAATGGTGCAAAAGGATGGAGACGTCGTATGCCGAATTCAGCAATGCAACGTATTAAAGAACAGGTAAGGATTTTTTTTTATAATTTGCCATACTTTTTTTCTTAACTTTTCTTTTGAAATTTGGTTA